GCTAAAATTTTCACAAAAAAAAATAATTGACCCGCGATCAAAAAAAGGTTGCTGACCACTGATATAGACTAATAACATGCAAAACGTAAACAAATTCACTTATCTCTCAAAATTTTCCTGGGTTTCTATGTAATGAATTTGTTTATATATATTTATTTTAATATGAATGTTGTTTAGATTAAGTTTATATTTAGAAACATACATAGCTTATACTGTTAGATAGGTATTGCGAAACTCCCGCCTATTCTCCAGAATTGTAGAAGATTCTTGAGAGTAAGAATCAACAATATAAATGCTTTATATGTAAACGCTTTAACCAGTATTGTTACGTAAGACTGAAGTTTCTAGAAAACCTTCCCACGCCTATAAATATAATCATTGCGACATGCCAAGGAGAGTATCTATTATTAGTTCACTATAGTCACTGTGCTATAAACTTTGGAAGCTATAACTGTGATTTTTATAACGCTTATCAATTGGAAGATTTAAGATATCTCACCAGGAATATTTATAAATTTTGAACATTACAATTTATTTAACGTCAGTTGATTCTCATCGGACATTAGTATTTTTATGAAAACATTACCTAACTTTAATGGTGGAAAAAATTGTCGTGTGATCAGTGAGAGACAAAGCTAGCTAGCTTTCCATTAAGTGAAATAGATCTCCATCAATCGCTCATCGTGAACCCTCAATAAGATATCGGGGAGGTTCCAGACTAGAAAGAAATCTTTATATTGTTTGTAAATTTGTGAAACTTTTGTTTATAAATCATTGTTTGTAGTAACTATTTGTAATAATCGTTATTGTAAATTGTACTGTTGTATATATATATTAAAATGTATTTGTGTTAAAAACGAAAAGGGTGTGTATCAACCTTGTTGGCAAATATCATAAACTTTTTATATATCGGCATTTATTTAAATATTAAATCCAAAGCACAATTTAACTACTAAATTTAAATCATTTCACTCGGCTTCGGACTATTTGAAATTCTAATACGTAACATCTAACTATGCGGCAAGAGCCGTTACAAATTCATCCAAGCTAGTCGTTAACTTTCCAATGGGAACGATGTTTATAGTCTGAATGAAATTGACATTTAACTGTTCAGAACATAATGTTATACAATACATCATTTGATAGATGCGAACCTTGACTTTCTGTTGGTTATAGATAATATATAATGAAACATAAGAGAAAACTATCAACAAATTATGAAAGAGAGGATGAGACAGGTGGGTGTGTAAGGAGGGAGTCCGATTTTATTTTCGATAGCTCTGTAACCAAACAAAAATTATGGTTTTTCTGAGCAATAACGATTTTTATATAACAATGGTGATAACATTCCTGTGCTAGGAATAATCAAAATTTTAATATCAAGATTCTTAAAAACCAAATAAAGTATTTACACAGTTCAAATACTAAAACATATCTAAACTACAAAAAAGTTTCTAATTCAATTGTATAATCTTGTCATAACCTCAAAACTTCAAATTCAACAATATAACTTTGACACAAAAAATTTTATTTTAATTTCTAGTTTTTCTTTTCCTTATTAGTCATAAAAATCAGTTTGATATAATCCTAACTAACAACATTTCTGACAACATTTCTAACCAACTTTCAAGCAATATCCCTTTAATTTTTCACATTCTTGAGCATCTGGCACATTAGTTTTCTTTCTTTTTATACCTTTATTTGCTACTAGATGACTTGAGTAAAATTTAATGCAGGATAATTACCAGCTGTTAACAAAACACCTGATCAGCTTATTTACTTAGAGTGACACATCGGTTTGCATAAAGCCATATACTATAGTTATTGCAACAAAAACCTTAACATAACTCATTTTGTCTCACTATGAAAATAGTATTTAAACACTTTATTAAATCTAAATGTGTACGAGCCATCATTATGCATAAACAAACTCAAGAGAAATCCCAACTAAACACCAGAGGAAAAGGTACAAAAATGTGAAGATAATAATTATTAAAAATAAACGAGGGAATTATTTCTCACAAAATCACACTTGACTGCAAATGTAATCTTGTACAAAACTGTTATAAAAGGTGAATAAAAATATCACTGTTTTTGTTAATGACCAGAATTGAAATATGACAAATTTTTAAAAATCTTGTTGTTTTTCAATGTTACTTGTGGTTGGTTGTTAGAGCTGTAAATAATTGAAAGTCATACGAATCTTATGAACAAAGTCATTATTTCAGATAAGAGTTATTTACTTATTTTTCAAAAATAACAATTTTAAGTATGTAAATTTATATTTTTACATCTACAACTATTTCTTTAGAAAGATTTCTTTGTAAACTTTTATGAGAATGTAGTGATGTAAGTCCAGATAAATTAAGTAATACAGTAGAAAGAATAAAAATGTAAGTACTTTGTTGTTTCAGCGAGGCAATCTCTAGGTAACAAATATTCTCTCAATTTATGTATCATATATTGCAAGTTCTTTGTTTGTAATGTCACATGTTAAAAGTTCTTGTGCATCAGATATTTGTGTACAACACAAGGGTGTGACTCAAAATCTGCATTAATGAAGAGGCATGAAACAGTAAAGAAGGTCAGAGATGATGAGAAAGCGTTAAGAAATCATTCTTACAATTAATCAATTAAAATCATAACTTAATGTATTTCAGTTTAAGCTTCTCTTCTGGCTAATCAGTTGAGTACAGTGTGTGTGATGGTTTTCAATAAATACATTGTTAATGATACATACTTTAATACCCTATAAGTTAATTTAATTATAATATTACTGATCAATAGTGTTAAATAAGTTTGAATATTATTAGTTATTATTGCTATTAATTTTCACATGAAGATTGTTTTGCATTACCAGCTTAGTGTATGTAATGCATTTTAATTGATTTAAGTTTTATTTCTATTTTCTACTCAATTTATGAGCTGTTCTATAGGTTTGATCGATATATATTCCATTTATTCATGATAAGAATCTATTACTGTTAAGACTTGTAATATTCTTAAATGCGTAAAAGAAATATAATGCATATGTTTGAATAAAAATAGTTTGGGAGATATAATTGCATTTAATAAGTGAAACATTTTAGAGAAATTTAGATTTATCTTTTAAATTTTATAACTAAAAATATTCTCCTCTGACAAAATCTGCCTAGACTGATTTTTTGCAAGAATATTGAGTCCAAATTATGGCAGTAAAATAATTTTCAATTCATTAATGAGTTTAATTAACATTAGTAGGGACATTGTCCACTCAATTTGTATACAGTTTACTTTTATAGATATAGACTAAATTTAATTATTCTTTTATGTTTCTGAAATTCGTACTGATTTAGTTATTTTAACCTTTTTTATTCTAAACATCACTAAGTTTAACTAACCATAATAATTTGATTGTTTAAAGCAAGTGTCAGTTTTTAGCTATTAAATATCTTGATCAGGAATATGTGTAAACATATACTCTTTTTTTTTCCATGTTAAACAACTTGCCAAGTTCTGCCCTTGGCTTGTATGTCAATGTGGGATCATTGCAACACTAAGATAGTTATTAGTATACGGTTAAGTTTTGTAATCCTTTTAAAATGTGAAAACTGTAATCATACACATTATAGGCTGCAACATTTTTTTTAATAGGTGAGAATTGTAATAAGGTTCTGTTACTGAAAGATATTAAAACTGTTTTTGTTATATAACAGGATATTGTTAAACGACTCTATCACAACCCAAAACGGATCTTCAACCTTCCCGACCAGCCTAACACATATATTGAAGTAGATTTGGAAGAAGAGTGGATTATTCCTGAAGCAATGCCTTTCAGCAAAGCCAAATGGACTCCTTTTGCTGGAAGGAGTGTAAAAGGACAAGTTAGAAGGGTAGTTCTTCGGGGCGAAGTGGCTTTTGTCGATGGTCAGGTTTGTAAACTGGATTTGTAAAGTAGAAATTGGTGGTGCAGCTTTGGATTACTTCCAATGAAAACCAATCATTGTAATGTAAATTTTTTTTATAGCTGTCTCTTTAGTTCAAGTTAAGTAAAATGAAAATAATTGAATAAGTATTTAGTATAATATTTATAAGCTATTAGTTTATTTATCTTTTATAAAAGTATAGTTTGTCATATAAAACAGACTAATTAGTGGTAAATAATGTGCTAAACAAAACGTCCTAAAAGGTACCTCTATTTGTAAAATTTTTTTGTGTGCCACAAGCCTTTCACTCCCAAGCACCCCTTGATTCACATAGTTTAAATGATTCTCGCATGCAAATTATCATGCGACAAACCTCCACCAATAGTAGTACCACACAGCCACTTGACTCTTGTGACTCCCTCTATGCTATTCTACCTAACTATGATTTTTTGTTTGGCAGTGCTTGTGTTCAGATGTTTAGATTGTGCTCTCTTCAAGTATTTTTTTTTAGTATCTTGTATCAATTTCTCTCAACAAGTTTACTATTTATTGTACAATAGTGATATTTGTAACTTATTCCAAAGTATTTTATACTTCTACCCAGTTACGGTACTTAATATGTCATTATAAATTTTTTCTACTTTTTATTTCTTTCTCTCAACACAGTTGTGTTTGGTTATTCATTTTGAATTATGAATTCTGAACTCTAAGTTATCACTTCGGAGGTTATACCTTCTTTCAACACATTTACACAGGCTTCAAGTGGCAGTCCTCAATTGGGGAATTATCAGATTTACTTCATCGGGAGATTGATCGTCCAATGAACTGACCTTTGTTGAGCCTCAACTCAAGTTTGGGTGCCCACACATTTTGAAATATGGTCCACCATCTTTGGAAAGATGAGACTATACTGTTATGGTTTTTAATATTTTTACTGTTAATATTATCTGTAGTTATTTGGGTTCAATAACATAAGTTTAGTTAGATTAGCAAATACTCAGAGTCAAGTTCAGGTATGAAATTAGAGCTTAGTTATATTCTCTGTTCTATAACATTAGATTAGGTTTAACATGGGTCTTTGTTGTTTTAGGATCATCTATAATTCATCTTACTGGTACATTGTCAATTAGGTTGACAATATTGTTTTTTTTTAAAACATCACATTTTATACATATCTTATTGTCAATACAAACTTACTTAATTTTACAATATAACGGCTCTCTCATTTTCGTTATTGTTTATCTTTTATACTTCTTTATATTATTTTTGTTTGTGTGGACCCATAGAGCCAGGTTCTGCACAGACTTGTTTTCCCAATATTATACCTACTTATTGTTACGTTAGGGTTTTTGAATTAGAGCTTAGTGATATGCTTTGTCCTGCACAGTTTGATTAGGTTTAACAAGTGTCTTTGTTATTTTAGGTTTACCTGCAGTTCATCTTACTAGTAAATATATAATTAGGTTAACTGTCTTGTTTTCTTCAATACATAAAATTTTATACATATGTTTATTTTACTACACGCTTACATAAATTTACATTATATCAACTATTTCATTTCCGTAATTCTTAATAATTTATACTTCTTACAATTAATTTAGTTTGTGAGGACCCCTGGGTGCCAGGAGCCACCCTTCATACTCTAGATATTGTTTGCCTTCCTCCTACAACTGCCGAACCTATTTAGGACGACCTAGATTTTGTCAGTTTTCCTATACCTGATTATGGCTTGCCTTCCAAGGCCTGTACTGCGGAATCTGCTAGTCATACCTCAGCCTTTTTTAGACGCTTTTCACAGTATACTTTTCCCTTCTTCTCCAGACATTATGTTTCATGATGAGCATTTTTGTCTCTTTTGGGAAAGAGTACTTGCATGCCTTGCCCACCACAGGCTTTGGTTCAGTTTGCCTTAGCTTACCATGAGGCAGATTTTCTCCTTGATTCTGTGTACTTAGAATCTCTGTTGCCATTTCATCCTCCACCTAGTTTTCCATTTTTTTCCTACCCTATCGACTCTCCTACAGGAAATGTCTACCTTACACCTCTTTTCTTAGGTGTTACACCTATATCTAAGGGATTTTCTTGGGATACCTTTTCCTTCTTCCCTCTATGTTGGAGTGTTTGTCATTTTCAGTTCTTTCCCTCCACATGTAGTGTCTTTGCTTTTTGGATCTTCTGGGGTGGGACACTCTTGTACCATTTCTTTACCATCCACTTCTTATAGGGATTTATGTTTGGCTCATTTTCTCCATTTTTGGGACTATTCCTTTGCATTTAGCATCACGTGGGTTATCTGTGTTCTGTATTTTATTTTTTCTGGTTGCTCTTTCATTCTGAGTCATTGCCATCTTTATTCTCATGTTCCATGTCTGGCACCTTCCCGTTCTTTACCTGCCATACCTATGGGTTTATCCATTTGTCATGTTTGCTCAGTACTGATTGGAGTTCTGGTTCAGTTGGTCCCACCTCAATCACTTCTTGGTTCTTCTCCATTTTTAATATGTAGTCTTTGATCATAATCGGGTGGGCAATTTCTGCAAGATTGTGAATGCTCCAAATAAATGTTCTTATTTTTCCTTTCTCAGGATGCTATCTTAGGTTTTTCACCACGTGATTCGGTAACAGTTTCATGCCATGCCTTTTGGACTTGTTTTGTTTCTGTATGTCTTTTGTCAGATGGATTGCATTTTACCATACTTCTGCATTTTGGGGGATTTTTACTCACATCACTACTTGGATTTCTGGCTTTGGTTAGCTTCTTCTGAATGGGGGTGATCATAATATACTCATCTGCTTCTTACACAAGCAGCTCATGTGGTTGGATAAGTCTCCCCTGTTACCTACCTAACAATCTTGTCTATTTGGGGAGTGCCTTTTTAAACACCCACTTCTGTCGAGATAATCAACTCTCCTCCTCTATTACATTCGATGGAGCTTTCTGTTACCCACACCATTATGGTTCACTATCTTACTTCTAGAGGGGTTCTAATGCATTTTGAGATGCACCTTCTATGGATGCACTTCTCCTTTTGGGTCTGGCACATTTGTGGTCTTTTCATGATACATTGCACAACCAATTGCTTTGGATTCTCCTTGTAACTTTCCTCTTTCCCTCTTCGACTATATGCCTTGGTAGTTGAATACATCCCCCAAGTAATTTGGTTTACCAATTCCTTCCCCTCTTCCAGATTTGTTTCTCTTCCCTGATGTTCATCTCCAACCAAAGTTGGGGCATGGGTTGATCAACAAGAGGCTTCAGGACAGTGGTTTACAGATGAAAGGTTTTACCACATTAATACCATGGCACTTCTGGCAGTCCAGTTTAGTTCACTCCATTTCCAGCAGTTTCATTCCTTTTCACCACTCCTCTCTTGGTGATGTTTTCTTTCCTTCCTTACCCATTGGATTCAGCTTGTGATTTGATTGGCCTTTTATTCATTGTCTCTTTATTCCTGTAATCAATTCCTGGTGTCTTCAATCTCATCAAGCTCCTTATCTTTTATCTGCATCTCAACCCTGAGCTCTGGAACTACAACTCATACGTTCATATCCCATTATCTGTTTTGGGTACCTGTTTCTTTCTCGTCAGGGTAGTATCTTCCACCTGTTGCCATTCTTCACTCTTTGGTGAGACTGGAACTGAGTAAGTTTTCTTTCTTTGTTATATAATCTGAAGGTTGTGGGTCCGAATCCTTGTTCCACCAAGCATGCTCGCATGGGGGGCATTATAATGTGATGGCCAGTTCCACTGTTCTTTGGTAAAAGAGTAGCCCAATAGTTTACAGTGGGTGTTGATGACTAGCTGCTTTCCCTCTAGTCTTTCACCCCTAAATTAGGGGTGGTTAGCACAGATAGCCCTCGTATAGCTTTGCACGAAATTCAAAACAAATCAATTCTTTTGTTATATATCTATATATATATTATTTTTCATGGGCCTGCCACATATTTTGACCAAGATCCTTTGACCAAGAATTGTGCAAAAACCAACATTGTAAGGCCATATTGACATAACTTTCATAATTTCCATGGCCATAAAATACACACTGCACATTACAATCACATAAACTAGAGATGGGTGTTCTACAAGATTGCTTTAGGTTATTCCTCACATTATATTTGCTTCATAAATATGCCTCTTCTGGACTGTAGTAACCCATGGACTTCATGGGTAAAGCAGAAGAGGATTGTTGCTGATCCCTTCCATTCCTTAGATTGAATAAATTGAGTTTGTTCTGCTTTTCAAAATAGGGCTTCGTGGTCACCCATTGCATTGTCTCTGGTATGAACATGCCTCCAGACTCTCAAACACATTTTTTTCTCCCCCCATTTCTTCCAGTGGAGTAAAAGAGTCCTTACTACTTTCCAGTTCCAAGCCACTGGGATGGTAGACCATGGAGGTATCCTACTGAATGAGAGATATACAATATAAAAAATAATGACTCCATTCAGTTGAGAATAGGGCAGTGGTGTTCTGCTGGTATAGATAATGAGATGTCCTCCAAATTAATGTTTCATTTCTGCTCGAGTTTTTCCAAGGGGATATTGTAGCTTTAGAGTGAGCAGTCATAATATTGGGATACCTCATCCTTCCCCCACATGGAAGTCAGTTCCTGGCAGTTGAGTTTTGAAGTTATAACTGAACCAATCACCATATGTTCTCATATGTGTAGTGTGTTTGGGATCCTTCATCCTACCCCTGCATGGAGATTGGTTACCAGTTTTTGAGTTTTGTATTTAGAGCTGAACCAATCGACATGATGTACTCATACATGTAGTGTGCCAGTATAATTGCAGTTCACTCCTTCGATTGGAATCCCTCATTATACCTTCTCATGGAAGTCAGTTCCCAGTGGTTGAGTTTTGGATTTAGAGCTGAACCAATCAACATAAGGTCTCACACATGTTGGTGTCCCATGTCCCTCACTCAGTTTGCCTCGTGTGCACTACTCCAGTGTTGTGGGTCATGGTGGGTGCACTTGTTGGTTGTTCCACTTCTTGCTCTTGCT